TGTCTCGATCAACTTTCAAGTCTCTGATCTCCCACAAATAAATGAACAATTAACGAACCGAAAAACAGATATTGAAGAAAATGAAACAATGCAACCCAAAACATATTCCACAAGAAAACATCATCAGTTCAAAAATTTCAAGATTTTTAAGGTCTGATAAGTTTTTGTCATAGATATTTAAAGACATCAGAGAGCTATATAGTTAAAATGCATAATTTAAAGTTAGCAGCTCTTGATAGTAAGTGAAGAAAAATCCCTAACATAAATGTGTTATATTGGGATTTGATAGAGGCAATGGACTTCTTTCAGAAGTTGAAGATCTGATAAGTGTTCATGTAATAAATGTTTCAAGACATTTTAGATTTTGGATTTGATATGAAGCAATAGCTTTCTTAAATCAGTCATAATAGAACAGAGCTGCACAGTTTAAATGTTATCAGAGTTCTAGATGTCAAAATGAAACTGTTAAAATATTTAACCCAATAGTCATCCAAAATTAATCAAAATTTTACACAACAACAAAGTGACATGATCATTTTCATAGTTTTAATTGATTCATTTATTAAAAATTCTCAAATTTCATTTTTGGGTGAAATTAAGGGAAATATCAAAGATAGGATCATGACTCTGTTCGAATCTGACATGAAATTTGAATCTCCATTCTCCCAAAATTCGGGAGAAGTCAATTTCGTGACTGCTAATGATAAGTCTTCAAATTTCTTGACTTTGACAATTCTTAGAGATTATTTCTCAAAACAGATAATTTTTTTTATCAGATTCAACATGCTTGACTGGAGTTGAAAAGTTATCAGCATGTTTTTAAATGTTCGGGAGAAAAGATAGTGATTTTTGACCAATCAAATCATTCCATATTTTATTCTGTGGGATTGTTTGAATTCGTGTAAAGAAATGAGATTTCAAAGATAAAAAAACAAATAAATTGATACACTCAGATCCATCGCTTGAATGAATCTCGTTCAAAAAGAAAAATTCGAACAGAAAGCAGGTTCACTGTTTTGTATTATTTTTTTTTCGTACAAACTTTTGATGTTTTGACTTGATTCAAAGTTTTGTTACTTTGTATTTTGTGTGTACCTGTCTTTTCCATGTTAGGAAATCAGCCATTGTGAGTTATCAGTAATATCGAACACTAGCTCACTGATTTGTAACATGGTTCTTTCAGACATCCTTTTGAAGATTTGAATGCAAGCCAAATTTCTTTGATCCTTTTTCAAACATGTGACTTCTGTAACATTGTGACTGGTTTTTTTTTTGCTCGTGTTTTTTCATCTTGGAAATGAAGTGATTTTATTGGTTCTATTTGACTCCATTTGCCTTTTTCTGTTTATTAATTGATTGTTTAGATTTTCAAAAAACCGAAGTGTTTAATGACCCACAGTGAACTGAGTTTTTGTAAGGGTAGAAAGGTCACATCTGAAAAGGGATGTCCTCAATGACAGGCCTACCCAATCTTCCTCAACTGAATGAAAGTAGAGATAGAAAAACTTGTCTTGTTTGTGAACTTCTATAGCCCACTGACTAGTTAACCTCCAAAAAGGTTCCCAGAGTTGGCTGATGCCTGGTGTTTTCTTAACTGGCCACTGTCAGGTGATGTCTGGTGTTTCTATATACAGTACAACAGTGGACCATCCTCTAAAATATGATGTTGCTATTAGTTAAGAGTTAGGTGATGTCTAATGTTTCTATAAGCTGACAATATGAAAACAACCCAGAGTTAGGTGATGTCTGATGTTTCTATAAGCTGACAATATGAAAACAACCCAGAGTTAAGTGATGTCAGATGTTTCTATTAGCTGACAATATGAAAACAACCCAGAGTTAGGTGATGTCTGATGTTTCTATAAGCTGACAATATGAAAACAACCCAGAGTAAGGTGATGTCTGATGTTTCTATTAGCTGACAATAGGAAAACAACCCAGAGTTAGGTGATGTCTGATGTTTCTATTAGCTGACAATAGGAAAACAACCCAGAGTTAAGTGATGTCTGATGTTTCTATTAGCTGACAATAACCCAGAGTTAGGTGATGTCTGATGTTTCTATTAACTGACAATAGGAAAACAACCCAGAGTTAGGTGATGTCTGATGTTTCTATTAGCTGACAATAGGAAAACAACCCAGAGTTAGGTGATGTCTGATGTTTCTATTAGCTGACAATAACCCAGAGTTAGGTAATGTCTGATGTTTCTATTAGCTGACAATAGGAAAACAACCCAGAGTTAGGTGATGTCTGATGTTTCTATTAGCTGACAATAACCCAGAGTAAGGTGATGTCTGATGTTTCTATTAGCTGACAATAGGAAAACAACCCAGAGTTAGGTGATGTCTGATGTTTCTATTAGCTGACAATAGGAAAACAACCCAGAGTTAAGTGATGTCAGATGTTTCTATTAGCTGACAATAGGAAAACAACCCAGAGTTAGGTGCTGTCTGATGTTTCTATTAGCTGACAATAACCCAGAGTTAGGTGATGTCTGATGTTTCTATTAGCTGACAATAACCCAGAGTTAGGTGATGTCTGATGTTTCTATTAGCTGACAATAACCCAGAGTTAGGTGATGTCTGATGTTTCTATTAGCTGACAATAACCCAGAGTTAGGTGATATCTGATGTTTCTATTAGCTGACAATATTATATATAATATGACAATATAATGATATCTCACTGCTACAAGATTCTTGGTAATATTTTTCATTTCGATTATTTTATCAAATTTCTCAGTCTTTGAAGTTTCAAATCGATCTGAAAAAATTATCTAGAACCTGTAAGATCTTACAGATATTCTTTACTTTCAATTTGCTTACATCTGATCATAAACATATGTCTTTTCCATATATTATTGTGTCTTCATTTTATCAAACAATCAAGAATTTGCATACAGGTTGCAATATTTTGCCTCGTATTGTTGGTTTGAAGAATCTTAGGCCTGCGATCTAACAATGGGGAAATTAAAAAGAAAATAAAGCCCCAAGTTTATGAAGAAAGGTTTCATTCATTGAGTTAAATGGACCACCCCGTTAAATTCCTATTCATTTGGTGATAAAAGAATCATAATTTGCGATGTATTGTGTTTTGACACCTACGTGTTTTAACCAATGAATATTAAGAATTACATTGATTGACAAAACACTACACTAACCTAATATCACATTCTTTATATTTCCCTACATATAAAGAAAATAGTTCCAAAATTTGTGATAAAAATTGTAACATTTTCTTTTGTCACAAGTTTCTTACATTTGGAAATGTGATTTGTTACGTTAAGTGATACAATCTAATTAGAGAAAATCAACAATATTATGTTTCACATTCAGTCGATTTTACGTTCATCAACTTGAGAATCACCTGGCTTAGTCACAGAACTATTTGCAAAATTAATTAAAGTTTGTAATATTAGATTACTGTAATATATTAAAATGAAAGTAAAATTGAGCTCAAAGCTTAAAAGATTCAATCTGTATTCATTATTTAATCAAGCTGAAACGAACACAACTCGTGAAAAGCAAATCAAAGCAAATGGTTTTAAAGTTGTTACACAATTCTTTGGAGTTGATTGAAAATATAGGGAAAGGTACGAAGTGTTACATGGCTCATTCACTTGAAATCATAAAAGACGAAAGCAAAACAGCGCCACCTGTAATATGTTTCAATGTAAATGTTTGCCAATAAAAGTTTACCATGGTTCGTAGTGTAAGGGTTGGAGTAACAATGTATTATAACTTGTGCAAATATAACACCAGATGGAGGCAAGATAGTTAGAAATATAAAATAGCCCTTGACGATTATTATTTTGGTGTTTATTTTATGTTGAAGAGGGACTTGAAGCCTTTAGGGTTTTTATTTATTCAGGGGTTTTTGAAGATGAAAGCTGATGTATACGATATTGTAATTATTTCGTTTTCATTTTAATTCAAACTTATTACAAGAGTCAGGACTTGAAAGTGGTTAGTCCGAAACACACATACTCTTCAGTTTTAGGAGGTTGGACTTAGTCATTTTTTTCGCAACCATTAAATTGTTATTTGGCTTTGAAATATGAACTTGTTTACCAAATTTGCAATGCTATTAATTCAGAAAGAGAGAATTAGGCTTTACATCAATAAACCTTTTATGTGTTGAAAGTTGAAATTTTCATGAATTTAAGGGCAATATTTTGGCTATTAACTGAATCAGTTTAAAGCTGACCAAGATTAGTCACAAATAGCTATCAGAGAATAAGTTATAGTCAACATTTTTCAGCAAAGTTTTTATTAGTAGATAAATGGCTAATATATGAATCATATAAAAGTCAGCAAGTCTCGGACTATATTAAGATATAAAAACAGACATCGTAATTCAGTTCAAATATATTACTTCATTATGTTAATCTTTTTAAGTTTTATTTATATTAAGGAATAGTTGTTGAGTTAGGAAGATCTGAATAGTCCAAATCTTGAATGTAGGAATTCGCTTTTATTGCATTGTTCTTGAAAATTGAAATAAAAATTCTTGAAGATGTTTTTTGCGTTTTTGATGACAAGTGGTATATAAATAATTGTATTTTATCCTGCCTCGGGGTGTACTTTTCCTAAGACTTGACGATAAAAAAATTTGGGTGTTAACCCCTGTGACATTCATGAGACTTGAATCTTTTGAAATACTCGAAAATAAATTTATAGTTTTGACCTCAATGATGTATGTTGTAAAGATTTTAATAATGGTTTGAAATATTTTGGTTATTTGAATGGGTTATAACACCTATTATTTCAGAAATTTGAATGGAATAGAATCTTTCCATCTATCTTGGTTTATCTAATACTTGAAATTTTTCTGAAAAAAGTTGTCATGGTGATGCCTAGATCTTGTCTCATTCATTCATTCATTCATTCATTCATTCATTCATTCATTCATTCATTCATTCCAACCAAAGTACCCTTCTCAGAAGATTCCAGTTAGTATTTACAAACTAAATTCTTAATATTTTGTTGTTTATCTTTTCAGTGCACGTCCTGGCAGACCTCCGAAACGAAGCCCATCGATTCACGCCAGTCCAGAAACTATCGAGAAATTGAAGAAGAGTCGTCTGGATGGAAGCGACTACCAGTTTGACCCTAGACTTTATGGTGAGTAGACTTATATTAAAATTTCCAGTCTTTCAGAAACTGATATGAAATGCGGCTAACAAATTTACTTATTTGTCGACCTTGAAAAAGCTTTTGTGTTTTCTTGTGCAGAACCAGTTTAATGGCAATTAATCAACCTTAACTGATCAGTTTCTGAACCCTTGGTCTCAATTTTTTTTAACCTTTGAACCCTTTTCTGTGTTTCAAAGCTCTGGAACCTTTATTCCCTTAAAAGGAGAACATTTTTAGAGTTTGATATCGGTTTATATAGATCCCGACACTAGTGGTGTTGCCAGCCTTGCGAGACTGGCGGTACAAATAGGGGGCAGACTGACTCAATGGGGGGACAACTGCTGAGGCTGAATTCAAATTTCGGTTACTCTGTGGTAATATATTTTTACATGACATCATTTGCTAGGCTGTGGGTTTTCATCTTGAATCTTCATTCATAGTCTCAGTCGACCTGGCTGTACGGGAAAATCTTGGAGTTGTTATCTTTGTAAAATATAGTTCTTTTTTTCTTTCTTTAATGATAGTCAACACCGGACCAACTCTTGGAATTAAGATATATACTAGGTTTACTCAGATTGCTTAGAGTGAGGAAAACGTTACTTTCTATTAACTTCTACTTGATTCTTCTAAAACACTTGATGCTGACAAGGTTCTTGTTTATGAATGGACTAGAAAAAAAAAAGAATGGTGTTCGTTTTTTCAACCTGCTGAGTTCCATTGTTTCCCACCAGCTTAATCCTTTAAGCTGATTTCCAACTAAAAAACTCCATTAGTTTTGTCAGAAAAACAAGAAACTTGAAATAATTGTTTTCAATTAAAGAAAACTTTTAAGAGAATTTTCTCGTCTTAATTTTCTTTTATTCTTTCGGCAAATAAATGTATTTTTTCAAAAATTAAATTTACGCATTAAAACACATAAAGGTGTTTCTTTTTACTTCATTTTTTCTAAGATGACTTGTGGACATGAACATCTTTTTTCTTTCTTTAAAGGGATATTGAAGACTAGTTTTTGGCTTTGCAAGAAAGGGGCCTAGTAACTAAGAATAATATTCAAATTTTTATACTGTTGTCTGATTGGTTGATGCTACTTGTTTCAAAATCAAATTTGCTACAAGAAAGAAAGTGCATGATGATTCAGTGAAGTTATTTTAAGTAAAATTTTTAGAAATGGGTCGTACTAAAACTTTTATTTCATCTACCCGGATCACGTATTAGAAGTAGGGTCTGTCTACAATGAAATTTTTCTATAGATTGTAAGAATACGATAGGGTTGTAATGAGAGTTCATTCCGTTAATCATAATCTCATCCAAAGTATGGCAAAATCCAGAATAAAAGTTCTATAGTAGTGGACTCTTCCAAAGAGAAGCACTATTTGGTGTTTTGAAAAACTCTGTCTGCAATGTTTTTCAAATATTGTAATCAAATCAAACTTGTTATTTATGATGTCATATTAATTGTTTTTATCAATTTTAAAGGTGCCAAAATACATATCTACATGAAAATGAAATTTTAAAATTTAGATGACAGTATCCCTTTAAGATGAAATTAAAAAATTGAAATTTAAATCTTAACAACCATAAAAGAATATAACAGCATTAAGCAAATAATAAAATACAATTCATAAAAAAATTGTTGAAATCTGATAAATGGGGGCTAAGATTTAAACAAAGGAAATAATTTTGAATGAAAAAGGGCTGGAGGGTAGGGTTAATGTAGCGAAGAAAATACGAAGATTTAGGTATAATTTAGGTATTGTGAATTATGGTGGAATATAATGTAATATGAGTGGAGATATTTTGGCCCCGGGGCTGTCTGTCTACAGGAGCGTGCTGGGTGACAATTTCAAATAAATTGAAATATTTTACCCATCAATCATTGTAACATGTAAAGTTTTAGGTTCAATAAAATTTCTTTTGAAAAAAAAATCATTTTTATTCGATATTTTCATAATCTTCTGATTTTTCTTGATGATATTGGTACCATAGATTCTTTAAAATTTATATAGTTGAGAATTTGTTACCTTTAGACTTGTCCCAGTGCTGTATTTTAGTTAATAAAGGGTCAATTCTTATTAAGAATAACTGCTAAGAGAAGGTTCTAAGATTTTTGATAAAATGTTTTCAAATCTGTGTAACCTGATGATAATATTAGGCCTAACATATTGCGTTAAATTTGTATCAAATTCTACATAACACCTGACAATAAACTTAGCCCTTTAATGCTACAGACTGTAAAAAAAAAAATTTGCCTGCCTGTGGAAATGAACGCGCCAATTAGACTATCTAGTGATTGGTTGTGTACAATTTTCTGATTTTCTGAACAAATAAAATTCATCACTGTTGTTGTCTAATTGAACATAAAAATGAAAATAATTCAGAAATATGGCCCTGAAGGTGTGTATTTGACTGTGATCAATGCTGCAAACCATTTAATTACACTGAATTGTCAATAGAAATTCGTTTAATTTTGACAGAAAACTGGATATTGTGATAACATATCCTGAAGGTCTGTAATCAGTGTTTGATTGTATTGGTATAGTCAATGTTGTGTTGCATTACTCAGTAGACCTAAAATTTCAATTTGTACTTAAAATTTAGGATTTGATTGCAAAAATGTTGTCTTTCCAAAATTCCACGGTGCCAATGTTGGTGGGTGTGGATTTCTATTAACATTGAGTATGTGAAAGGCTACCTATTCTGTACTAGCATTCTACGGAAAATATTCCTTATCATCTTTACCTAACTTTACTTGTCCCCTTCATCTAATGATTACTTAGAAATACCACTGCCTATCTGTTAGCACTAAATCTATGATTTTAACATTGATTTGAATGCTGAAACTGATGAAATTTGTTAGATGGTACAATAAACCGAGGCCCTGTGTGCTACAGACTGTGCATGTTAAAGATCCCTGGACAGTTGGAAATCGAAAAAGAGCAGACTAATGTTGCTGTCCTAGCAAAATTTCCCTCATTGCACCCTGCATGGCATGGCCCGTCTTCGTTAGCTCACATGGTGCAGAGGAGTAGGACGTAAAACTCCATTCATTCATTTTATCATTCAAATTGTACTCTCAAAGTCTTCATTTTAAAATGACATAAACTCCTTTTCATTTGAAAATTAGACATATTCAAATTCTGTGTCATTTGCAGTAAGTTTAACCGATATTTTTGGGGTATTTTGTGATGACAGGGTTGCCTAAGGCAAGAATTTATGTAAAATGTCAACTTTTTCTGTTTATTTGTTTGTTTTGGTGCAGATGTATTTGTACAATCTATTGTAGCATTCTCCAAAATTGCACGATTGATTTTGATAAACCAAGACAAGAAAAAATTATGATATAGGACATCCCTCTTTAAATATATTCAGTTTATATGGTTTCCTCAGACTGTCAGGACTTCACCTTTAATATTTAGAATGAGACATCTTAACTTGTACAAAAAAAACCCCAATATATTCCTAATAGTTTCTCTGATTCTGCCAGGCACAATCCTCAAAAAATTTGAGGCATAGAGGGGTCTTGATAGATATGAATTAAACAATTAAAAAAACCACACTTTTAGAATTTGTTAGTTAGGCATTTGCCTCATGTGCCTCCATTCTGCCTTTTGTCATTTCTTTACGAATATGGCGTTTAAAATCATATTCAATATTCCTCTTGTATTCACAAATCAGTTTATTTGATTTTGTCGACTGTCATGTGACTGAAGATGATATTTATTCATGACGATTCCAGAAGATCAAGTGTCGACAAGTCAGACGGTAAAAACGACTGTCGGAATGTAATTGTAACTCAATAGGGTATTCCAGTAATTGGAAAAATATTAGCCAATTGATCTCAAGTGACTATTGGTTGGTAATCTCGCGTCTGTAATCACATGATCAGCAATCGTAAAAACATTCGTAACTCATCGTTTACATTGATTCCACGTCTTCGCTCTCATTTTCTCATTGATTTCATTCGTAATAGAAACAAATCACAGATGTAATGAGGAGAAAAAACGTGTCTTTGAAGCTGTTAATCGTCTCCCTTCCACTTGGCTTCATTCTTCTTCAATCTCCACAAATCTTTTCTACGACTCGTTTCAATCTCTGTGGTTTCACTTTCATGTTATTATGATATCATTACAAGAAATTACCGTAGAAACGAACTGAATAACTCGTAATAATCAGGGAATATTTCTCCAGATTTCTCTCATTCTAACATCTTTAATGATTATTTTCATGTTTACGTTTGCCAACTTACTAATTATCATGCTGATGCCAAAATGACAAGTGAGAAGATTTCAGTGCATTCAATATCATATAAATATATTAGCTTGGTGAAATTTCAAATAAATACTGTGATGTTATTTTCATTAAATATCTTAAATGCAATTATTAACAAGTTTGAAATTTTTGGTGCTTAAAATATCATATATAAATCTTAGCCAGGTGAAATTTCAAATGAATATTTAGTTCAGTTATTGTCATTAAAACTCCAAGAATGCACTTAACTATGTGGACTCTATGAAACAATATAGTTGACGAGTTTGAAAGTTTTGGTGCATTCAATATATAAATCTTAGCTTGGTGAAATTTCAAATAAATATTGAGTGGTATTATGTGCATTATTTCCAAATACAATGTGGACTCTATTAAATGCATGACAAGCATGAAAGCAGAGTTGTAAGGTGTATGTATATGAACGTTATTTTCTTGACTAATCTTACTTGAGCTAAGCTATAGTTTTAATATTTTGGCATATATTAGCGTAATTTAAATCTTGACACCTAATTTAAATATTGGTTATTAAGTGTATTTATTTAAGTCTATTAAACGTCCAGTGTTTAATGGAATTATATTAATAAGATGTGGAGATATTCATGGTTATTTGATATTATACAATGATACATGATAGTACAATATGTTATCAAATATACCCCAGCTGATTCAATACTCTGTTTTAAAGTTCCTATTACACAGTTTCAAAGATTTCTTTCAGGGAATATCTCTCAATTTTAATATCCCATACTGTCTTCAGTTGTATGTTAGATAATACTTACTTAATTAATCTTCAAATTGCTTCAGACACTTGCTGACTTTTCAGCATGACTTTAAGATAATTATCAAATAATATTGTTAATTATTAACCCTTATTTCAAAACTATCTGTCCTTATGTCTTGGTTTTGGGCTTTAGGTTTTGTATTTTGTCTTACTCTCATTTCAGATGAATTGAAATAAAAAACAAAACATGAGTCCTTATTGATAGATCAAAATCATACTCAAATATAAGTGACAATAAATTTGAAAAAAAATAATTTAATTTTAATTTAATTGCAGAACTATTTTAAAAATATTTTGGTATAATGAAGTGATAAACATTTTCAGTATAAGTATACATGTCCAAGCTTGTAAATTGTCTGTAACACCAGACTCGCCTCAAAACACCAGTCTAAAATCTTTGTATCTTGCCGGACATTTCTGTTAATGACCACCAGATCAATCTGACGGCTGGGAAAATTCATCAAGTATAATTTGTTTCTTAATAATGGTCATTAGACTCTCTCTAACAATGAGAAATAGAGTCTTAATTTCTAATCAATATTCTGAAACAGGCCATTTTAATGTACGCAGCTCATATTTCATGGTTGTTCATAAAAATCATTTTATTCCTGACAGTTATTGATATATCGTTATCGCTGCTCTCCGTCAGTTTCCTGATACCATCGCCACCAGGTAGCGCTATTGTGTTAGCGTGAGATACGAGAGAGGTCGCGACAATTACAGAAATATAAACGAATCTATTTCTATTTGGATGAAACGAGAATATGAAACTGTTAACAATTAAATATGATTATTTTTGAATTGATTATGAAGTATTATCAGTTGTAACAGTATCCACATATATTTATATTATTCATGCAATCGTTTTTATCATTTGTTACAATTATCATTAATGTATCATTTCGTACTTGGAAATTAATTCGATATTTCATTATTAATAAAAACGTACTTGTTAACTTACCAGATTGTATCCAGTGTTAAATATTAAAACAGAAAAGTATATTTGGTGATAAAGTATGCTACTTAATTTGAATATATGAACACAATTTTATGGCCGCTGTGGGTTTCTGATCTTGATTGGTGTTCAAAAGTCTGATGGCCTTGAATAAGTCGTCTTCACTCATAATTCCAGTTGACTCAGCTGTAAATTGGTACGGATAATCCAGGAAAGATCAATCTCAAGAGGTTTGTCAAGGATCAGCTGGTAGAATGGATCCTTAACTGTGAACCCAAGTTGTTATCCTTTTCAAAAAGGTTAAAGAGGTGATAGTTAAAAAGATTGTTACCTAGATACTGGCTATATTTGCGCAAAAATATTTGTGCTGATGCAGGTCTGATTTACAACTTAACATGAACTCTATTACAGGTAGAAAAAATAGCGGGTGGAAACTACTAAGGACAAAGTAGACTGTTTGTATTATTGTTTAACCTGGAGGGGGACGAAATATATCTACATTGTACTATATCTTAATTAAAAATCCCCACAAGCAAGACAATACCGTTAATCAAAATCTTGCCCAAAGTATGGCTACATCGAGAGTAAAAGTTGTATAGTAATGGACTCCTCCAAAGAGAAGTACCATCAGGTGTTTCAAATATTGGTAAACAAATATTTAGATGACTATGTCACTTTAATCTTGAATTTCCATTCTGAAACTTTACTGTTTTATAATCATTATATTACCAGTTCATTCCATTGAGCTTTTTCACCTACTGAGATTTCATCCTCTTTTGTTGTCTGTAAGAGTTTTTGAAACCAAATAACATAAATATCATTTAAAATTCCTGTGTTTCCATCTTCTGTGAAGAGCTTTTTGAAAACGGTGGAACGACAATATCATTTTAAATACTAATGTTACTTTCCTTGTCTTTATTTCTGAAGAGCGAACAACTTTTCATAATGTGCATGTTGATGATCAAAATATCATTAAAGATTGAATGTTGTTTTCGTGTCGAAGGGTTGAAGAGAGAGTAATATGTTGTGTTTACAGGTGAAGTGTATTTCTAAGTATCAAGATGACTTGTTAGATTTCTTTTGATTGAAAAATAATCTTTTGTCTTTGTCCATCTTGAGCAATTTGTTTGAAATCATAAATCGTTTTGTTCGCGTTTCTCGGCAGGTTTTGTTTACCCACAATTCAATATGACAGCAAGATCGTTCTATTGTCCCACAATCCTCCATTCCACTTGTCTCGAGAAAATTGTTCTGTCTTTAAGCCGGAAAGTTATAATAGTTCCATATCAATATATAGGGCTTCTCTTTCTTTTATTGTTGACTCAAGCCACATTGAGTAGCGGAAACGAGGTTTTTCATTTCTGATCAATGCCTCTCAAAACATCGTGCAATTTGATTCAAGGATGGCATCGGCATCAAATTTAAACAAAAGCTATCCCACAAGACATTTGTAAGAGCGCTCTTCATCTTAGAAAACTCAATAATCAAGACTACTTACAAGGTTTAGTTGCAAACGTTCGTGAATTTATCAAAGTTTAGACGTGAAGTGGATTACCAAGACTTGTGTCAACAAAAAGTTAATCGCAAATTTCAGACATTGATTGAAATGTAATAAATATGATTTATCTTTATATTATCCAATCAGAATTAAGATAGAATTATTCTTGGGATGATATCATTATTGTTTCAGCTGGCGTAGTCGACGCTAATCCGTTATTTATACTTTATTTGTTCTTCATCTTAACATGGATAAAGATTTCCAATTTTAAGAAATATAATCTTCAATATTAATATTTTAAATTGATATTACGAATCGAACTAACTTGTTCATTTCTACCTCAATGATGAAATTAAAAGTTTTGAATATTTAAAAATTAAAAGTTTATCACAAGTCTAAGCTTATACATGGTATGATGTACAATATGAAAATTCTTTGGAATATGAATAATCTGCATTGGAGTCCCTTTTTAGTAAATTAGCATGAGAAACTTCTTAATAAATTTGTTTCATATGAACATAAGAATTTGAAATATTTTTTTAGTAATTTTGAAATTTATATTCAACTACTAAACATTATAGAATCAACAGTGTGACAAAATTAATACAAAAATGTAAAAACTCAGTGATAAATTAAAAACATAGTACTAAAATATGATAGGCAATTTTACAAATTCTCTTAAAACACAAAGGTTTGTCATTTTTTGGACACAAAAGACATACTTTTGACATTTGGCTTTTGTTTTTTATGTTGAAAAAAAATTTATGTGGACCTTTGACCATTTTTAATTTCTTATTACAATAAAAAGTCGTGATTTGTCTTAATCTTTCGTTTGAAGATGTGATCTCCGAGTGTAAATGACACTTTTTGTATATAAAAACTGATATATGTAATATATGTCTTTATATTCGGGTGTTAAAAACTTTACAAGAACGCAGAAATTAGATATAAATATAATTTTTAGTATTTTTGTCTTGGTTTTTATAATAAATAATAGTTTAATTCACCCATCAACAAATAAATCTTCAGGTTTTATTTTCGTCTGAATTCCAAGGTCGAATTTCTCCAAAAATAGCTTTATTCTTCTTGATAAAATGGGCTAATTTTTATTTATAGAATACAGTGGGATTATATGATGTCTAACTGCAGTTTCTGTAAATTCTTAAAATGAATATTGTGCAATAATGTGATATAGTGAAAAATTCATCAGCTGCTACCAATGTTTCCAATGCTACCAATGCCAATATGTTTCGATTTCAGTGTTCGTTTTTGTGGTTCAGATCATTAGTACTTGGTTTATTTTAGTGCTTCTCTTTTCGCTGGGAGTTCCAGAAACATTGTATGTATCTATAAGACATCCATTCCAACACTCACTTTTGAATGAAAGATTGCAGTCAATTCTCCCACAAACATTCTGTAAAAGGAATTACATGATCTAGGATCAAATGTGAATCCTTGCAAGAAATGTGGTTATGATTTTTTCATGGATTTTTGTGAGTTTTTATGAGTCAAGAAATTTAACTCTGAAGTATTTCTAATAATTCCTAATAACTAATTTGCCATTTTTGTTTCAAGGATTGTAATCAGTATTTTTGTTTTTTTATTCGATGTTTATTAGCAGGTGATATTTCTATATTTTTAACATTTTAATGTGGGATGTTGACAGTTGAAGTGACAAACTCATACACTGACTGACATGTCACTGTCAAATTGATAAATTAACTTTTAGTTTTTGGGTATTTTGTTTTATAAAGATATCAACAATGAATGAATTAACACTTCAACAACTGAAATAACAAAAGACTAAATGATTAAGATTAATGATAATTTTCTCACATTTCATTAATATTCAATTTCTTTTCAATTTTTTAGGAAATTAATGAATTTATCCCAAAATATTTCTTCAGATTTCAGACCACTAATATATATATTCAAGTTTTAGTTACTTTTAAAATTTATGTTCATAACATTTTCAGATGTGTGGGCACTTTACACAATTTTTAAGAAATATTTTTAGAAGTATTGACTTTTACAGTGTTCAAAAGTTGTTAACCCCTTAAAAGAGTTATTCATATAGCCTGGCAGGGCAAGGATAGGGTTGTTCAAAAGTTGTTAACCCCTTAAAAGAGTTATTCATATAGCCTGGCAGGGCAAGGATAGGGTTGGAGATTGCAGTTGAGGTCATTTACTGACTTCTAATTGTCCTATTTTTCTCATTTCAGACCGCAAAGCATTACTCAATGGATTCCCACCTCATCCTTATGCTCTGGGACCACTTCCCTTCATGCATCTGGGTCACCCGATGATGTCACCACCTGTATCCATAGCGATGGCGTCACACCTGGGATTACGACCTGATGGTTCTATAATTAAAGACAGATCAAGTTCAGAATCAGATTTGATGCCTGTCAGGTAAGTGTCGATTAAAATTTAATTTTTGTTAAAAAAAATGATAATGAGTCACCTTCCCTGACTTTGAGTTTTGAAATTTTTGAATTCACTCTCTCCTAACTCAATTTTAAAAATTTGGATCAATCTTTAGGAGAAATCTGGGATAATCATACCTTGTGCCATATAGGTTATATTGTAAGATGACATTGTGGTAAGAGAGTCAAACATGACTGGCAAAAAACACCTTTGCAACTTCAGATGCAGTGAAAATATTTTCCTTAGAGACTTTGGCCTATTTTGATTTGAAAACGGATAATTTAGTTGCAGTAAAAAATTAAAATAATTTTTAAAAAGTGAAATTTGTCTAAATTAACACCGAACCTAACCTACAGGAAGTTGCCATCATAGCAACGGAGTGTGAACAGAAATAGACCAAAATAGTGGTTTTAAACAGAAAAATCTGTTCAACACATTTAAAATGCATAAAAACTAACATTTACATTACAAAACATAATTAAATTGTCGTTTCTTAGTAACTGTTTTATTTCACCATGGTAGCACACGGTACACAGACAACCACGGCAACGCAAGATAGGTTCCAGATTGTTTTCAAAACAGGAGAGTTGAAGACGCACGTGGACATAGATTTTATAAAACTAACTTATTCCAAATATACCCAGATGTTACGAATACTCATGTTGTTCAAACATCGCCAAACGAAAAGGAAAAGTAATTTTGTTAACTTGGTTTGTAAACGAAACTTGATGAGCCTAAGAAACTTTTGGTGTTAGTTAAACAGACGCACTTAATAACCCAGAGTTCTTCAAGTGCTCAGCAGGCATACGGATGGTAAATATGGTACACATACAGTCAGAAAGGAATAAAACAAGACCTCACTTTCAATATGTTGTTCAGTTCAAGTAGTTAGGAGTATTAATGACTCTATCTTGGTGATTTGTATACTGTGATATCCTGCTTGGATTAAATCAAACTCGAGGTGCTGGGTCATTCAGTAGATCTACTCACTTCAATTAAATATATTTCATTCCACTTTATTTTATTAATGATGCACAACTGGACTGGGGTGTTGATTCCACTGTATTTACCAGTCATGTCTTACTAGAGCTGTAGTCTGTTGATTTGGTTGTATTTACCAGTCATGTCTAACTAGAGCTATAGACTGTTGATTCCACTCTATTTACCAGTCATGTCTGACTAGAGCTCTACACTGTTAATTTGGTTGTATTTACCAGTCATGTCTGACTAGAGCGCTGAACTGTTGATATGGTTGTATTTACCAGTCATGTCTTACTAGAGCTCTAGACTGTTGATTTGACTGTATTTACCAGTCAGGTCTGACTAGAGCCCTAAACATCTTGATTTGACTGTATTTACCAGTCATGTCTGACTATAGTTCTGGACTGTTGATTTGGTTGTATTAACCAGTCATGTCTTCCTAGAGCTCTAGACTGCAAATTTGGTTATATTTACCAGTCATGTCTAACTAGAGCTCTACACTGTTAATTTGGTTGTATTTACCAGTCATGTCTAACTGGAGCCTTAAACTGTTGATTTACTGTATTTTTTATTATATCTGACTAGAGCCAAACTGGTTGTAAAAATTATTTAAAATTATAATAAATTTTTTCAACTTCAACTCCTTAAGATGACAAAATTCATAACAATATGAGTTAGCATCAATTTTAAAACATTCAAGACCTGAAAGAACATGTAAAATATAAACATAGTGAGTACTAGTGAAATATTCAGTTTCTTAGGAAACAGATTGTAATGATGATTGACATGTATAAGCTCCACCCATAATTCGATTATTACATAATGTAAACAAATGATCAGTAGAAGAAAAACATCAGAAAGAGGCTGAAATGATTCGAGGCCGGAACCAAGTATAAGATAATTGATTACGTAAAGTGCAGTTTCAAATGTCACAAACATTTTGCAGACCTTTGACCACCCGCATTGAAGAGTTAATCACCCCTTTTCCTATTGTTTTCTTCGCACCTTTTCTTCGTTGATTTAAGTTAAAAGTCAGGGATCACTCACGTTCTGTTTCTAATTTCAAACTCTTGAAAGTCACGAGGCAAAGTAAATAGTCAAAATATCGAGAACGAATTTGTTCGTTCGTATGTTCGTTCGTTCAAGATGGTTGTTGTTTAATTTTACGACAGTTTGGACTCTTATTACTTCGCGAATAAATCGTACAAATGGAATTCATTTTATTTTGAACATATGGAATTCGTTTATCAGGAAATGGAATGTAATATTACGGTCTTGAATGCCTTAATGCATCCCATTATTGAGGGTACACGCGCCCAATAAAAAAAGAACGTGAAAAATGTCTTATTCCTTTTAATATTGTTTGGATTTAAAATCAAAGACAGGTTTATATAATAATTCGGAACATTAGGAATTGAAAACTTTTCGGATGTATTACACATTGAATTTGTAACGCAGGTGACGTTTCCTTGTGTTTAAATATGGACAGGGTGGAAACACATGCAAGTTTTTATTTTATCCAAAATGGATTGCAGATTGCGAACACTACATTGGGTGGGATATTAAATAAACACTATTCTATTTGATTCAATTTACTTTGACGTCTTTGAAAATGGTTTAATTTGAATTTTGAGGCAGACGTGAAAAATATATTACTATTTGAAATTCAACTCTTGAGTTTATTTAAAATAGAAATGTCGTAAAAAATAAATTAAAGAAATTTCAAATATTTTAGGTTAAAGTATATAAACTTATAGTAAATACAAGATTTTACATACATCTTTATTAAAAGAGTTTTATAGAATATTTTGTTGAAACTTTAGGCAAGATGTTTATGTTATTGTTGATAAATACGTAAAATAAATAAAATAACAAAGTGAAATTAAGATATATCGTATTTTAATTAAATATTATATTTCGCTATGTATAATTTCAAAGAATATTAATAAGGTTTCAGAAACAAGCTTAGGCTTTTGCTAACCTACATAGAGATACTTCAAAATATTTCATAACCAATTAATTTTTTTTTTAACTTCCAGAAGTCGAGAAGATGGTATGGAGAGCAGTCGAGGGATGTACAACCCCAATTCACCATATACCACAGAACACAACCTTAATAAAGGTCTTGGTCTCTATACCAGTATGTATCCTGCACTACAACTCCTCAAATGCAAGTTTCTTAGTTCATCCTCATCCCCAATCTTCATTTTATCCACGCCCTCTTTTTAAACCCAGATTTTCTGTTTTATCCCCATCCTCAACTTTTCCCCACCCTCAACTTATCTCCCTCATTTTAATCACACCCTCTTTTTAAACCCAGCCTTACCCACTATTCTATTTTATCCCCATTCTCAACTTTTCCATATCCTCAACTTATCTCCCCCATTTTATCCACACCCTCTTTTTAAACCCTGCCTTACCCATCATTCTGTTTTATCCCTGGCCTCTTCTTATACTCTTCTTTTTGCCCCAAGCCTCATTCACAAACCTCTTTTTACACCCAGCCTTATCTCCCTCTTTTTATCCCAGTCTCCTATTTTATCCACCATTGTCCACCATTCAGTTTATCCCCATTCTCAATTTATCCTCGTCTTGATCCACCATCTTTATCCTATCACAATTGCCCTCTTATACCTCATCCTCTTTTTATCCAGATTCCTTCATCTCCTTCAGTAGCCCACTTGGTGCAGGAAAGAAGGACCTAACACTCCATGCATTTCATTTCATCCCTTCTCCATCCGCCCATAATAAGAAATCCTCTTTGCCTCTCCTCAGTCTCTAGTACTTTATCTTCCTCCTTTTTATTTTATATCAGTTTTACTCTCAATTCATCTCTCTATTCCCATCATTGTTTTTTGTTGCATGCAATAGTTTTTTTTAAATCAAGTTTTAGAAGCAATACACTTCCTTTTTAGGTCTTATGCAGCTTAATCCAAATCATATCATCTTTTCTATAGTTCACTGGCTATTGCTGATAATTTACCTTGGAGTAGCATATCAAAATAAAATCTATTTGTAAGACTAAACTTATCTTTTAACTATTTTTGACTCTTTCGCTTCATTGATGTGCATTGGTTTACCATGATATAAAATAATTTAGGAGTGAGATATGAAAATAAAAATTCTGGCTGTGACTATTTGATATATGAAATGTCTCAAGAGTCTTCAGAGATTGAAAATGAAATATTTTATTGATAATGAACAGTATAAATCTACTCTGTATAATTTACTTAAAGTTTTTACCAAGTTTTATAACATTTCAATATCGAATCTTTCTGACTTGTTAACTTTGATCTGCCATTGTTTACGACATATTTATTATTTGGAGAACGTTGATTTGAAACTTGGAGAGCTTCTTATAAATCCAATATGAATATCAAAATTGTTCTCGCTGATAACGCTACGTCAATTATACTTTATGATCGTTTCCACGTATTTGTTTTTCTTGTGGCTGGCCAAGTTTTATTTATTTTTCTGGATATTTTATTTGCTCACATTTTATTGTCTCTGACTATATTTTATATTAGTTTTCGTATTGATCAGGGACAATATATTTTAAAATCGTATGATATATAAATTGATTTAAGAGTAAACGACCATTCACCACCACAACCATCCCCCACCCCCTACTCCCTCACCCCCCTACTCCCTCGCTATCTTTTCAGAATTAAGATGTTTTATAATTGTATGATAAATTGAATTCTAATATTTGGAATTAGGGAACTGACTTAATTCTTAAGATGAATTCAGCAAATCATCCCCCTAATCTATTGCCCCAAAATAAATTAGTATCATTCTACTTCAAATTTGAAACACTTGAAAAATTGCTTGATTTTGATTTTTATTTGGCTTAAATAGAATATTAGTCGAGATCAGCTTTTGAAAGTTTGTTGCATCAAAATTATAAAAATGACAAAAATTGTTTATTTCCTTTTTTTTTTTACCATGTATTTCACAAGTTTTTGTATAACCTACCTATATGAATGTTAATGTTTTGATTGTATTTTTCAGACAATAAACCACTGAATCTACATGTTAATGGTCACTATAAAGATGATAAACCATCCTCACACACTAGGAGTGATGAAGATGAGGAGATGGAAGATGATAAATTATCAGATGATGACCCAGAGGATGGTAAGTCTCCCTTTGAGTCTGGGGGTAGGGGCGGGGAGTCGGAAGGGGCAGCTCTCAACAGCACCAACAATGACAGGAGAAAAACAGCTTGATCTGGGGCCTTATTCTTGAAAAATCAACTTATAAGTTATGTGTTCCAGTCATCTGATTAGTCAATCACTAAAATTGATTTTAAATTTAGTTTTATCATCCAATCAGATTACTGTATTTCTTAAAATCTGGATGTTTTTAAGTTAAGTTTTGGAGAAAAAGGTCCCTAGATGAATCTCATAATTCTTTGAACGAGATTTTTGACCAGAGATTGTTGTTCCATAAAGCTGTGTCTATATATCGTACTCATAATTTCTAAATGCCATTCAAAGATGAGATTTTTGATTGACAGAATTGTCTTGCTTGTACATATTTTTATTGATATTGACTATGTTAATCCACTAGTCTCACACCTCTGGTTCATGAGAGACCAGTCTACCAGCTGGTCTTGGGTCAATCCACTCTAGACTAGTTTGAATGGTTTTCATGCAGTTGGCTGGTAAAGAGAGATATCATTAAGGGCCTGATACTTTTATGGAAATTTTCCGCTACTGGCAAGCTTAAATTGTTGGAGTATCTTTTTGATCTTGTATTCCACAAATTAAATTAGGATCTAGGAATACCTTTCTTATAATCACAGTGCAAGAATCTAAATCAGATCTGCAGTTGACATGTAGTAAATCTTGAACATCCAGTACAATCTTCAATACAAATGGGTACAGACAAATTATGTCTTGACAATTGGGACTACAATAAGAGACATTAAAATACAGATAAATGTAGAAGTAATAAGAAGTAAATTAAGCCAGTTGATAAAATTCGACTGCAGTCCTGTGATCTTATTTCGCCTCGCACTTCATAAACTGCGGGACTGTCATTCTTAAATGACGAAAAATTAGTCTTGATAAACATTTTCACAGATGTATCGCAGATAATTTTACCTTTTGTACAGTTATTTAGAGAAAAATAAACTAGCCAAGATGAAAAGCTCCTCGGTTTTAGATTTCTTTCAAAATAATTTATTTTATCTAAAAATGGCAGAAAAGAAAAGGATTAAACAAATTAGAAAATAATGGTAGAATGGAAAATTGTGTTTTTTGTGTAAATTAATCCTATTAGCTATGTGTTTTATGTTTTCTGTGTGGTTTTTGATGTCTAATTTAGCTATATATCATCAGACCAATGGGATTTTTTTCTTCCTCTATTGTTATTGGCTTCTCGCATCTTTTGTAAGACAACTAAGAAAAAGAGCTTATATGCACCTCTATTTCTGTTGTATTCAAATGGAAATTTTCTTTAAATGATGACAAAAAAAAATAGCTTTTGGTAATATATTAAGTCTAAACTTTTTATTTAAAATGAATTCATGGTTCTTTATACATCTATTTGTATCAAAATCACTAACAATATTTATGTAAGATTTTCTTGTAGCCCAAATATCAGAAATAAGTAAGTTAAGGGAACAAGATACTTGCTTATTGAAAAGTAATACATATGGCATTGATTGAGCTGTTTCAGGTTCTAAATAAACTATATTTCCTCAGATCTAATAGCTATAGAAGTAGAGGTATACAATTAATAAATGGTTGTTTATCAGATTAAAAACAATCTAATATATTTGATAAAAACTATTTGTCTGATTGTAGTCTCATTAACTCAATAACTCAAACAAATAACCGGTGTGTGGTATTTGCCAAGCTGCCTACTTTAAGGTGGAAGGTACTCTTATAGTTACAAGCCTGTTCTATAATCTTATTACAATAAAATATCTCTTGTGATGTGCACATACTAACTTTTTGCCAAGTTCCATCAAGAAAAATTAATGAAAATACCACTATAATGGTTTTAGATAAAGAAACACTTGTTAAAGATTTTGGCACTATTTTGTTTAAATGAGTAAATTCAAAGCTGTTAATTTTTCCATGTGAATGAATGTCAACTTGGCATTCTGTTCAACTGGGGCACTAGGATAACAATGAAAGATACCTCTGGTCCACCTCTTTTCCTCAATAATATTTTTGACCACTGGGGATATTTTCACACATCTCTGGTAAAATAAAATAAAAAACTTGAAATGAGAGAATATAATTGTTTTAATTTTGTTATTGGAACTTCATCCAAAATTGACAAATCAAATGGATCCAGCGTTCGATATGAGATAGCACACACTATCCCTCACATAGCACACACTATCCCTCACATAGCACACACTATCCCTCACATAGCACACTCTATCCCTCACCTCTTTTCCTCAATAATAATTGACCAGTGGGGCTATTTGTACCATCCATAGTAAAATAAAAAAAACTTGAAATGAGAGAAAATAATAATTGTTGATCAATAAAATTGTTAAAATCCGGAGGAAAGACAATACTAAGTAATTATAATTAATTATTGTTATTCATTTCATTTATTTTCTTTTATTTGTTGAGGATGTTAGAGTAGCTTGACAAAATGTTCTAGTAATATTATTAGCTGCGTGGACTCTCTTTAAAGTATTCTGAGGAGAGTAATTACAGTGGAAGGGTGATCATTCCCTGATAGTGTCACCCCCACCCCCTCCCCCCTTTTTACCTTTGATCTGAGTATTGCATATATAAAGTTTTATTTTGAGCGAGAGGTTTGCTACAAGAAAATTCAATACAAATTTCACTCCTTGACCAAATCCTTGATTTGATCAGACCCTACACATGAAACATCATTACCATTAATAGTGATACAATGATCTAAATATATGCTTAACCTGTTAATAAGATAGAAGCCATCCGTAACACTTATCAAACAAAATTAAAATCTGATATCCCTTTCTCCTGCAATTTATCTAGGGCCGTTTTACACATTTTGCACATTTCTATGGGCAGTTTTAACTGAAAAAACTATAGTACTTTACAACTGAAATATATCATTATGACTGCTATTACCTTCCATATCACCAAAACTTTGTTTATATTCCTGAGCATTTTTTAAGCTGAAATTTGTCAACAAGAAAATTATTCTGATTAGTGGAGAGATATGGTTCTGAAACTGTACAAGTGCCATGATATGACAAGCAGTAATTTAACCCTTTGAATTCCAAACACACTGACATGTTAATCCAATGTGTAGAAATTATCTGCCAATTTAATTTGTTTCTCATATTTTCTTCGTGTTTTTCACGATGATGTCATATCCTGTTGATGCGGGAATGTGTCAATTGCACTGAGATTTAAACAACAAAACTGTCATTACCGACTGTGAGAGGTCACTCGGTGAAAACGTGAAATACAAACTCATATGTTTTTCTATTAGTTCTCTCTGATAATTCTTGTTTATATGTAGTTGAAATTAGCGTAAACTTTTTTCTAGTGTGAATGAATCGGTGAGATTAAAGGAAAGGGATATTTCTGCACTCTGAGTTTTATTTATTAAATAAACACTGGTTCTTATATATTGACTTTTATTTCACGGATAGCAAATCAAAACTTTGTAATTTCTTTGAGTTTTAATCAAAACTTTGTAATTTCTTGTAATTTCTATCAAAACTTTGTAATTTCTTGTAATTTCTTGTAATTTCTATCAAAACTTTGTAATTTCTTGTAATTTCTATCAATCAAAACTTTGTAATTTCTTTGAGTTTAATCAAAACTTTGTTTTTTCAACAGTTAGTAATATTTTGATATAATGCCATTAACATTTTGCAAATTCATTAGCTCAATCAAAACTAATAGTAATTCATCAAGTTCATTCCAAAGCAAAACAATGTAATATTTTGAGTTCCCGCCATCAAAAATTCTAGTTCTTTCAAAACATTGTAATTTCTTTTTAGTTTTTAATTAATCAATACTTTAATATTTTTTAAGTATATACTATTGTCTTGTTGGTTAACGTTTTGGCTAATTGCCTTCTTCAGAAACACTTCAGTGGCTTATGATCACATTTTTTCTGTCTTTCTTTTACTTACCTAAAGTTTCCTTCTTATGGGAATTTGGGATATAGTTTAATATTTTTTAGTTCACTCTATAAAAATTTTGTAATTTGAGTTTTTTCAAAGAAAAATTTGTCTTTCTTCAAGTATTTTTCAATGTTTTTATTTAGAAATTTTTTCATTTGTCCTTTTTGTCAGTGTAAAGCTTTTATCCAAGCTGTTTAATATTTTTTGTAATAAGTACAACTTTTTCCCTTATTGATATCTCATTCTTAACAGCATCAGAATAAAATTCCATCAAATTCCAAAACTATCATTCGACAATTGGTCTGACAGAATGAACTGAAGATTGACTTTAATAACTATCAAGTTGTAGGTACATTAGATATAAAAACATTGGTAAATAGAAAAGTAGATATTAAAATATTTTAAAAGATGAAAAAGAAATTTATTTGGCTGATTATTTTGACAGACTTAGATGAAATATTTGTGATATGTAACATTTTGATGCACCAGAGTTGAACTCGGGAATATATTTTGGAAAAAACGGCAGCTGATGATAATTTACATAACTTTTATGTTCGTGTAAAAAGTTTGTATTCTAAGTAGGCCCAGGTGGCAAATCAAACGTGTAAAATCAGAGAAAAATGTGATTTGAAAATAAATTAATGGTAATATTTGTTTGTGAATGTGAGGATATCTGTTTGTTTACATCAAGAGCTACGAAAATTTAACGTAATTCGCGTTACTTACGGGGGCGCACAGTCCAGGTTGTATCGGTGTAGAGTAATTACCAATATCAGCCTGTCAAAAACAGAAAATAGAATGCACGCAAAGACATCCGATTGAAAATGTAATGATGATAGCAGGTTGAGAGCCAGAATTTTCAATCTGTTATATCAATTCTTAAGTTATATTTAAATCTACATGCATGCATATTAAATCAAATTTACATATGGTTCACAGATTTTCTACATTTCGCTGTTTCTTGATTTGAAATTTAACTATACTGAAGTTTTAATGATATTTCAAACATTACCGAGTCATTCTGGTGCAAATTTCTTATAAAAATGAAATTTGTAATATTAAATGAAAATAAAGAATGGTTGGCTTCTCTCGTTTATTTATACTCTATACAGATGTAGAGTAAAGTACATAGTTTTAATATTTCAATATTTTAAATAACTTCATACATTAACAATGACTTATACATTTTGTATTTTTAATAAAAGTAATTTCTTGATAATCTAATAAAGTCTTCAGGAATTTTTTTTGAAAATCAGTAGGAATTTGTTTCAAGAAGTATATTGGATTGATACATCTACTATGAAAGAAACATGTACTTGCCCATGGCAAGAACCCATTTACAGCTGTGTTGACTGGAACAATGATGAAAGATGACTTATTTAGTACCCATTTACCACTGGGAGTACTGAAAAGATAACTTATTCACTACCCATTTTCAGCTGGGTTGGTTGGAACTATGTAAAAAGATGATATTTTCAGTACCCATTTACAGCTTGGTTGACAATTTATTGAGGAAAGATGACTTATTCTGTACCCATTTACAGCTGAATTGACAGTGTAATGATTGAAGATGACTTAGTTACCAAACTTTCACACACTGACTGGGATTAGAACTTGCAATGCTGAGATTGTGATTTTATCAGAACGTCTGTATCAGAATATGTCATAGTGCATCAAATACCTACTCCCTGCAAATGGTCAAAATCACATTGTCACAATAGTTCTATATTGGTGGATTGTAGAAGACGTTTTTGTGAATTGACAAAATATTTTCATTCATTTCATTTCATTTAAACAAAGCTGGAAAAATCCTGAAGTTTCTTCATAATTTTTATATGTGCTTCTAAAACTTCAGACAAATTTTTTACAATTTTTATAACCCAAAAGATCTAAAGAATATAATTCATTATGATTCTAGAACATGCAAATTAGATGAAATTAATAGTTACGAAGATCCAAATTAGGAACGAGAAAAAGCTTAAAACTTAAAACAGTCTCGAGTTACCAATTCTAATGAGCTTTAACAAACTTAATATCATTTGCATTAAATTAATTATTTTTGGAAAATGCAAGACATTAAATTTTATAGATATTCTTTGATTTTGAACAGACTAAATTATTTATTTTTATGCTTCAAACCTATTAAAGATTTTAGAATCAAACGAGCGAAAAACGTAAAATTAAAATTAAAAAAATATTTTACTTTGAATATTATCTTCTATCATGAAAATTTCTTTGATAATTAGACTCATTATACTTATATTCTAGCATTTCTATTTTAATTATTTCAAAACTCAAAGAAATATTAATTAAATCAACTTTCTTTGATCTTATTTCCTTAACGAGCTAATGATTATTTTTTCTGTGACTGGAGAATGTAGTGAAGAAATTATTTAAATGTTAAACGTTGGAGTTTGGGTGGTTCATTGTAGAAAAGCAGACTTGAAAAATATTTAAATGATTGTCAAAAATATTTGTGATTATTATTTTTGTGTACAAAATAATAATAATACAATAATGTTGTAATCATATTTGCCAGTCATATCTGGCTAGAGATTAAGTGTCAGACTGTATTCTTGTATATGATTTTGGCTGATTTGGTTGTCATTTCCAATCACATTAGGCTGAAAACAATATGTCAGTCTGAATTCATAATGGTCGGGAAAATCCTTTCTCTGATAAGATTTAGCCTTACTTCTCTGTAAATCCAAACTCTGCATGTCAGGTGAAAT